AAAGAGAGAGCCCGGGGCCTCGGTCAGGGCAGCTGACCTGCTGATGTACCCAGAACAGAACCTGGGGAGTGAAATCCGTGGCTGACTCTGCAGCTTTGTGAAGAAACTGGTGGGGAAGGTGTGTCTCATTCTTATCAGGGTCTTTGTCTTCAGCTGCCACCCCGTTTTATCCCCAGCTCCAAGCCTGCCAGCTGGAGTAGGTAGGCTTTCCTGATGGGGTGGAGAGCCTCGTCCCCCCGCGAGTCGGGTGCTGAGATCCCAACGTGGTCACCCCCAGCTGTGCGCCTCAGCGGGCCTCTTACCACCAGAACGGCCTGAGTGGCACCTGCAGCCCCGAGGACATAAGGACAGCCAGCACACAGGCTCATCCCTGCAGACCCCAGCGGCCTTCCTTACTCCACAAGCGCTGCTCAGGGTGGAAGGAGACAAAGAGACGGGTCAGTTGTGATGGCTGATTTTCTGTCAACTTGACTGGGCCGTGGGGTGCCCGGACGTCTGGCTAAACATTATCCTGGTGCATCTAGGAGAGCATTTAGCATCTGTACCTGTAGACTGAGTAAGGCGGGTGCCCCTCCTGGAGTGATGGCATCATTCGATTCATTGAAGGCCTGAATAGAACAAAAATGTGGAGAGAGGATTTACTCTCTGCCTGTTGGAGCTCAGATACTGGTTCCCTCCAGGACTGGGACACTTACATCATCAGCTCCCAGGTTCTCAGACCTTCAGGCTTGGACTGGAACCACCCCACTGACTTTTCCTGGGTCTCCAGCTTACAGATGGCAGATCACAGTCATATGAATCAATTCCTTATTTTATAGACCTAGGTAGACAGAGAGGTAGGTGTGTATATCTCCTGTTCTGTTTCTCTGGAAAACCTAATACAGTTGTGTTGGTGTGTATTAGGCTCTCAGTCCTATCCAACTCTTTGACGCCCCATGGACTGTAGCCCACCAGACTCCTCTGTCCATGGAATTCTCCAGGCAGGAATACTGGAGTGGGCTGCCATTCCCTTCTCCAGGGCAACTTCCCAACCCAGGGATCAAACCCAGGTCTCTTGCATTGCAGGTGGATTCTTTACCAGCTGAACCATCAGGGGAAACCCAATATAGTTGTAGAACATTTCACTTTGGCTCATTATAGCTCAGCTGCATCCAGAAGCCTGAGGCAGAGAGGCAAGCCAGGAGGTGGGGATGTGAGTGAGAAAAAGCGAGTAGCATGAGGCATGAGCCCCACACAGGAGGAAAGAACGGCTGAAGAGAAACCCAGGTAGAAGTCTCCAGGTGGGGGGAGTTGCAACAAAGCTGAGCAGGGGCTGGAGGATGCCAGGAACAACCTAGGAATCCCTGGGGGAAGACCAGAACAAAACGTTGGATGGGAGGCTGGTGGAAAAGTCCAGAAGTGTCCAGCCCTTTTCCACAGGAAAAGGCACCCGCCCTGGAGAGTGAGGGACAAGCGCCATGTGTGGTAGGGAGCGCTCTGTCATGGGCAGTGCTCAGAAGATGCTGGAGAAACGCAGAAGTGTTCTCTGCTGCAGCGCAGTCCAGGACTTGCAGACCGCAAGCTCCAGACCAGACTACTCCAGTGGCTCAGTGCCTGAACCACAACAGAGGCCTGGAGTTTGTCTCCTCTCTGCCTTCCAGGGTGTTGGCTTGCTCCTGAGTCTGGCCCCCTGGTGCTCGCAGGAGTTATGCCGGCAGCCGAGAGAGAAGAAAGGCCGAGTGCCCTCGTCACCTGGCACTGCCCCAGGAGCATGGAGGCATGGAGGCCAAGGGGCTGAGACCAGCACGGGACCCTGTCCCGAGAGGTGAGGCTGGGGGGCTTCTCGGGTCCCTTCGTCCGAGGGGTCCTGGGACCCTAAGTATGGAGCGCTCGCCTAGTGCCCAGTGGCCCAGGGCACCAGTGAGGCACCCGTCTGGCTGTAGCCCGGATGCCCCCTTAGGCCAAGGCTTGCGTCTGATAGCTGCTTCAAGGTGGACGGACGGGGAGGCAGCCTCACTGGCTCCTGGGGCTCTGCTGGGTTGATCTCAATGTTTCCTGTGCTTCCCATGTTCTCAGCACACACTCACCTTCTGTGGGAGCTGAACTAGGTCCCTGCCAAGGTCCAGTTATCACTTGGATTGCTCTTTCAATTTTCTTCTGCTGCACTAGGGTCCTTTCAGGGAGCTGGGAGGTGCGCTGTTTTCCTGGCATGGTTGGTTCTTTAATCCTGAGTGTTCACCGGTGAGAGCAGCTCCAGGGCTATGGAGAGCACTTTATTCACCAGCACTTATCACAGGCGATGACTGCAACTGTGAATCATTTCCCAGGAAGCAAGAGCTGGGGGAAGGCCACAGATGGGCCTCTTCACTAGCTTCTTGGTTTGTCCTCACATTTACTTTTGACATAACGGCTACCATGGAGGTGGACCGCATCTCTTCCTGGGCCTGTGGGCTCCTGGCTGTCTCCCCTGTATAGAGCAAGACCTGAGCACATTGTGATTCATCACAACCCTCACCCCTTTGTTCTCTGTTCACCTAGGAAATTATGGACCCTCTCTCCTCGGAGGTGTTGTAAAGTGGGGTGAGTGTATGTGCGTTCCTTAGAGGTATTGTAAAGCCAGGTGTGTATACATGCGTGTGCACCCACGTGCGACGAAGCCCTGCTGGCAAGACCTGAGGTCTGGGGTGTGTGTGTGTGTGTCCTGGGATCAGGTCACATCGTGCTGGGGGGACAGGAGCCAGCCGCTCTGCTGGAGCAGGCCCCAGGGCAGATGGAGCTGCCACAGTGGACTCACATGGTTCCTGTTTCTGCAAACGGAGGCCGTACACATTTAAATGTGATGAGAAACCATCTGAAGAGCCACTATTTTTAATTGATTTATTTAAATTTTTACAGAAACCTGATTAGAGTTAAGTATGTAATTATAAGTCCCGTAACAATTCTACAAAAATGCACATACAATGCCAGAATTCCTTAAAAGTAACTAATATCGTATTCTTGTATTGCATAAAACATGCATTAATATCAACTGCCACATGTTGGCCAAAATCAGTCTCTACAAGAAGAGACGGTCCAATACAGTCAATAATAAAACTAGTTGTGAACAACAGGTTTTAAGGAAAAAAAAAGAGGTCTTCTGGTTAACGTGAGAGGAACAGTACCTTTCCTAAAACAAGCCCTTCAGCACTGGGGGTTTTTGTCGTGCTGCACAGTGATGCCGAGACTTGGTCCTGACCTGTCATAAGGAAGGAAGGAACTTTCTGGTGCTTAAATCATATGCCTGAGAAGATAGAGCCTTTCAGGCCGTAATGGTACACAACCAGTATCACCTTGTAGAGAAGGGTTCAAAAATCCTCAGGCTTGGAACAGAGAGCTCCCAAGCTGGGGGTGGCGGCCCTCTCGGAGACGCCTGGAGCTCTGGCCCTGGCCACTTCAGCCTTCCACAAGGCCAGCTCAGAGCACACACGCCTCTCCTGTGGCCACGAGATCTTCCCGTTCCACACATCACTCTTCCTGGGGATCTGTAATTAGGTCTGAGGCAGAAAAACATGAACTGTACTATTTCTTGAAGGCCTTTGCCTTCTGCAGGCCGAGTTCACTGTACTCAGGGATCGGTGGGTACATGTGACTGCTGGACACACAAAAAATATTAATATACACTTGTGGCCCCAAAGCCTCAAATGCTTCTAGTCACACACCTCAAAGTGTGTCGTCTCCCATCAGGAAAGACCATGCTCCTCCAGAGGGAAAGAGCAACTGAGGGTTCTTGTTTATTGAAAGGTGTTTTCCACACAGACTGAGGGGCTTTAAAGACACTTCAAACCAACTGAAAGGACATCCCCTCAAATATGGGCTTTTATACAACATCCCATGAGGTTCTTCGAAAGATCTCACAGTCATTAGGGACTCAGCTGCGGACTGACATTAGGGACTATGCTTTACTTAAAGCTCACCATCTGCGCGGCCTGGGGCCTTGTTTGGGATCTCTTCCACAGTTTGCCTCTCCCAAAACAGGGCACTCGCTGCCCCTGCTCCTTACAAGCTAAGCCAGTATGTTTTTTCTTCAGCACAGATTTAAGGGGGAAATAATTTACTGGGCTTCTAATAACATTTTCTTAACAGAACAATATCAAAATAGGTCTATTCTTAATATATGCTTATGAATATCCCTGATAATATTAAGAAACTCGGAGGACTTTGTAAACCACCAAGATTTCACAGGGTAGTACCCGGTCTATTTTCTAGGCAGCAGAGAGGGACTAGTCTTGATATAATGGCAGATTTTCTCCAGGAAGCCCTGTGAGCACTACAGTACTGAAATTCTAATATTCTAGTGTCAGTAGATTTGTGAATGACACTTTCACTTTATATTAGTAAAATTTGTAACAAAGGTAGTCTTCCTCAATCCTGCCATCAGCCAACCTCCTTGCCTGTGACACACGTCTAAACCAAAAAGCTGCAGTCCTGGCTAACTCCGGAGGTTCAGCCTAGATGAAGCGAGCTCTGAGATTCCTTCTGGGCCATGACCAAACCTCAGAAAACAGGGACACGGGACGGAAGCAGACCAGGCTTGAGGAAGCTTTGACCCAAGGCACCACGATCAGAGGGGTGAGGGGACCTGTGGAGCTGACAGCAGGGCTTCTGCGACACTCCTCAAAGCAGGTCCTAGAAGACAGAGGCTGTGGCAGAGCAGACACACTTGGGAGTTAAAAGAACAAATCATGGGGTGGGGGGGGTAAAAAAAGACAAGTTTACTTTTTTAAAAACAAATCAAACTTCTTGAAACTTCTGAACAAATAACCCTGGCTAGACTGGGGTGGGCGGGGCTCAAGTCTGTGGAATGAGTTGCATTTAGCTGAGTCAGAAAGAAGAATGCTGGTTGTGAAATCAGCATAAACATTGTGGCTACTGTCTTTAGGAGAGTGAAGGAAGCTCAAGGCTGGAGGAGGAGGCGGCCTCTTTTATTCCTGGAACAGGAAGTGGGTCTTCCTCGGCCTGGATAGAAGGCGCTGCACTCCTCTCTAGCTGCAATAATACTGCATCCCGTCCACTCTTCTTCTCTTTTTTGACTGAAATTCTTCAAAGAACTGCTGGATGTCCTCTCTCTTAACCACCTATAGATGGAAAGCAAAGATTAGGAAAGGCAGCCACATTACAGAAGAGCTGTAATAGTCACAGTCAAGTCCAACAACATCGGTGATGAGGGTTGTTTTAGTGCCCAGTCATCCTGTCTCCGCTGCACAGACGAGCTCATGCAGGCTCAGAGACTGCGAGGTCAGAGTTGCATGGCAGGCACACGGCACACAGGTGCCGTGGGGGTTCCACCGCCACCCTTGGGTTCCTCATTGAAACGAGAGGAAAGGGGGACTCCCGTGTGGTCTGCTAGGCTAGGGATATGTCTTGCAGTGCAGGGGATGTGGGTTCAATCCCTGGCCGAGGAACTGACTCCACATGCTGTCCAGCAACTAGGCCCGAGCACCACAGCCAGAGCCCGTGCACAGCAAAGAAAGATCCTGCATAATGCAACTGAGATCCAGTGCAGCCAAATACATATTTTTTTTAAAGGGAGAGATGAAAGTACTACCCATTTAATAGGGCCATTTGAAGAACAGACGAGACATAATGCCTGTAAAAGCCCTGCCTGGCACAGAGTAGGTTCTCTATGAATACTGTCACCTGAAAAGAGAAGTGACAGAACCAGCGTGAACACTGAGGGCCCCGAGGTCTCCTGAAGCCACGGTGTTCCCTCAAGACACGGCTGTACTGGGAATGTCCCTCAGTTCTACACAAGCACCCCAGCAAACAAATGTGGCTTTTTTGACACTTGTGCTCTCCTTTTTGGAGAAGGAAATGGCAACCCACCCCAGTGTTCTTGCCAGAATCCCAGGGACAGGGGAGCCTGGTGGGCTGCCATCTATGGGGTTACACAGAGTTGGACACGACTGAAGTGACTTAGCAGCAGCGGCAGCTCTCTCCTTTACACTGGAAAAAAAAGAAGAAACCCCAAAACTCTTCCCTCTTTCAGGAGTCCAAAATTAAAGATATTTGCTATATAAACAGACAAATAATTGGCAAAACTATGGAAGCAGTACTCTCAGTCAATGGAATATCCATGTTATCCACTGAGAAATTTATCTTGTATTTTACTGGAAAAAGGATTAGGATCACACTGTTCATGTATCAAAAGTGTTCATGATATCAGAGAAATAGAACATTAAAAATAAGAAAATAAGGGGGAATATGGATTAAAACAGTAAACCGGGATGACCCGGAAGGAGTTCCTGCTTACTCGAAGAGGGAGTTTGTGCCACAATTGACAGGTTTGTTAATGTGGGTTTTATTATTTATTATTTATTTATTTATCAGGATCCCAGTTCCCTGACTGACCAGAGATTGATCAGGAGATAGAATCAGCACAAAGACAGAAATATAGATCAATGGAACAGAATAGAAAGCCCAGAGATAAATCCACGAACCTATGGTCACCTTATCTTTGACAAAGGAGGCAAGGATATACAATGGAAAAAAGACAACCTCTTTAACAAGTGGTGCTGGGAAAACTGGTCAACCACCTGTAAAAGAATGAAACTAGAACACTTTCTAACACCATACACAAAAATAAACTCAAGATGGATTAAAGATCTAAATGTAAGACCAGAAACTATAAAACTCCTAGAGGAGAACATAGGCCAAACACTCTCCGACATAAATCACAGCAGGATCCTCTATGACCCACATCCCAGAATTTTAGAAATAAAAGCAAAAATAAACAAATGGGACCTAATGAAACTTAAAAGCTTTTGCACAACAAAGGAAACTATAAGCAAGGTGAAAAGACAGCCCTCAGATTGGGAGAAAATAATAGCAAACGAAGCAACAGACAAAGGATTAATCTCAAAAATATACAAGCAACTCCTGCAGCTCAACTCCAGAAAAATAAATGACCCAGTCAAAAAATGGGCCAAAGAACTGAACAGACATTTCTCCAAGGAAGACATACAGATGGCTAACAAACACATGAAAAGATGCTCAACATCACTCATTATCAGAGAAATGCAAATCAAAACCACAATGAGGTACCATTACACACCAGTCAGGATGGCTGCTATCCAAAAGTCTACAAGCAATAAATGCTGGAGAGGGTGTGGAGAAAAGGGAACCCTCTTACACTGTTGGTGGGAATGCAAATTAGTACAGCCACTATGGAAAACAGTGTGGAGATTTCTTATAAAGCTGGAAATAGAACTGCCATATGACCCAGCAATCCTACTTCTGGGCATACACACCGAGGAAACCAGATCTGAAAGAGACACGTGTACCCCAATGTTCATCGCAGCACTGTTTATAATAGCCAGGACATGGAAGCAACCTAGATGCCCATCAGCAGACGAATGGATGAGGAAGCTGTGGTACATATACACCATGGAATATTACTCAGCCATTAAAAAGAATTCATTTGAATCAGTTCTAATGAGATGGATGAAACTGGAGCCCATTATACAGAGCGAAGTAAGCCAGAAAGATAAAGACCATTACAGTATACTAACACATATATATGGAATTTAGAAAGATGGTAACGATAACCCTATGTGCAAAACAGAAAAAGAGACTCCTATGTATAGAACAGACTTGTGGACTCTGGGAGAAGACGAGGGTGGGATGTTTCAAGAGAACAGCATTGAAACACGTATATTATCTAGGGTGAAACAGTTCACCAGCCCAGGTTGGGTGCATGAGACAAGTGCTCGGGCCTGGTGCACTGGGAAGACCCAGAGGGATTGGGTGGAGAGGGAGGTGGGAGGGGGGACCGGGATGGGGAATACATGTAAAAAAAAAAAAAAAAAAAAGATACACTATGGTTGTGATAAAAAATAAAAAAAATAAAAAAAAAAAAGGAGATAGAATCAAGTCTCCTGCTTTCAGACAGGAGTCTTAACCACTGGACCACCAGGGAAGTCCTGATGAGATGTTTAATTACAAAGGCAGCACGCTGTTACCAACATGATTTTTAATTTTGTAGCACATTCTTATTATTATGAGGAAATAAAAGTGGGGTATGGAGAGAGAAAGAGAAAAAGAAAGCACTGGAATGCAGGGAGGAAGAAGGAGAAAGAGAAGGAAGACAGAAGACAAATGCTTGTGTGTAAAGTGAAAACCTCCCTCTCCTCTCCCCAAGAGTGAGTGCGAACATCCCCAAGTGGCAAAGCCAACTTGAAGACCTCACTGGGGTAAGATACTGACTAATTCTTGAAAGAACTTCACATTTCGTCAGTATTCTACCAGACTGGTAGCTGACACCAGCCTCGCAGGCACTGAGAATAAGCTGGAGGTCAACCAGTGGGAATGAGAACCCCTCAGAGACTCAGGATGCAGACGGCTAACACACACTGAGGTCACCGTAGCTCAGAGCTCTGAGCGACTGGGCTTGGGAATGTCCACTTACAAATGCTGCTAGGTAGGCTACTAGGAGTTCGGATGTGAAGGCTCTGTCCCTGGCTTGGACCACAGACATTAAATACTGAAAGGTGATGCAAGGAAACCATTTCTCTGGCAAAGATATAGGAGGAGGGGACTTAAGAGCCCACAAACCACCCAATGTGCCATTTTTAGTTTCCAGACATCCTCAAACGGTCACAGCCAACATAAAGAGTAGAAACGTTAAAGAGTAAATGTTTATTAAGTCACTAAGTTCTGTCCAAACTCTTCTGCGACCCCATGGACTGTAGCCCACCAGGCTCCTCTGTCCATGAGATTCTCCAGACAAGAATACTGGAGTGGGTTGCCATTTCCTTCTCCAGAGGATCTTCCTGACCCAGGGATCGAACCTACATTTCCTGTATTGGCAGGCCAGTTCTTTACTGCTGAGCCACTGGAGAAGCCCTAATAATACTTGGGTCCAATAATAAATCATTTTATTGGTTTGTCTCAGAAAATCTGCATTTCTAAGTGTTTTTTTTAAGTCAGACACAAACATTAAATAAAGGGCAGGCCATTATTTGACAACATCTAGACCTTATTATGAAAAAGAAAAAGAAAAAAAAAGGAAACAAACAAAAAATAGACCATATTATGGACAAACACAACCAAAGCAGACAAGCTTTATGACAACTTATGGTGTTTGTAAAGATCTAGTTAGTAATGTTGAAAACAAACAATAAAAAATATTTTTTGTCTTTCAAATCATCACATCTGATTTAAAAATTACCTCAGACTCATTAAGAATGGCTCCAGTGATAACAAAGACCCATATGTTGAAGACACATGTGAATACTCTGGATAAAACTGTTTCAAATGTGAAAAGCAAAGGGCACCACACCTACTTTTTTCTTGTAATTTTAACTGTGTGTGAAACAAAATCAATAATGAGCACAGCAACCACAAACTACACAGAAGCAGAGGCACAAGTGCACACTCTGACACCGCTGACTGACACAGCTGAAAGACCTGGAACAGCCACTAACAGTGCGGACCTTAAACAGTTACACTCGTGGACACTTGAGTTCCAGTGAGAGAAGGCTGAGGCCTCATTAAGCAGAGGACAGCCTCTGCAACAGAAATGAGGATAACTGACGGTTAAGAGCTGCTGGGAAACAAAAGGACATCCACAGTGACAATGAGGAACATTCTCTAAAAATGAGCAAACCATTTCAGAAGACTCTTTACCCTCAGACTTCACAATTCATTCTGCCGCAAGGCAGCAGTGCCAACTATCCAGGCAGCTACGAGACCTTCCCACATTTATAAGAAAGTGCTCAGCCTGCAGAGACTTCTCCCAAGAAAGCAAGTCTCAGGGCATGTCCTAAGTGTCTGTCAGATGCAGGTCTGACTTCGTTAGTCTGTCTGGCGGTAGCAGAGCAGAACATTTACTGTCCAGGAGGACAACTGTAGGCCATGAAGAGAAAAGTTAAGTTTTATTTTATATCTCCCTTTGGAAGATAGAAAAGTATTTTAGAAAAAAATGCCATCATAAACACATACGAGTAGTAAAGAACTAGAAAGTATTTGAAAATTCATCTGGAGAACTATTTTAAAAGATTAGACATTGTAGTGACTTCCCTGGTGGTCCAGTGGTTAAGAATTTGCCTTCCAATGCAGGGGATGTGGGTTTGATCCCTGGTCAAGGAACTAGATCCACATGCCCAGGTGGGAATCTAAGCCCACGTGCTGAAACTAGACAAAAGTTGCCCTGCTTCAACTAAAGACCCCGTATATCACAACTCAGACTGACAGAGCCAAATCAATAAATAAATGAATTTAAAAAAAAATTACGCATTATAGTGTTAGTGTCGCTCTTAAAAGTTGTTACTCTCCTACCCAGCAAGACAAATGTTTTAGCCCTCAATTATCAAATTCTTTTATTCTAAACTATAGAACCCCGAATCACAGAAAAGAGGTCTGGCTTAAATTTTTTTCCTGACTGGTCATTTTTGCTTCCTCCTCCAAGAAATCCTGCTGGAAGATCAGGACTGGGAGAACCAGTATGGCCAATCCAATGGCCACTCATAAGCTACAACTGCTCTCTCAAGATCCTGGGTAATGGTTCCACCCCTCATCTGGAGGTTTGGGCAGGACTCCTAATGTGGCTAGTCTGGTGGTAGTTCACTACTATTCATTTCCCTTCCCTCTATCTGTACTACACGCTCAGTCATCTTTTTCATCAGAGAAAATGAACTAAGGAAAATAGTATGGAAGGCCCTCAAAAAAAAAGAAACAGAACCACCATATGATCCAGTTAATTACTTCTAGGTATATATCCAGGTTTCCCTGGTGGCTTAGACAGTAAAGAATCTGCCTGCAATGCGGAAGACCTGGGTTTGATACCTGAGTTGGGAAGATGCCCTGGAGGGGGGCATGGCAACCCACTCCAGTATTCTTACCTGGAGACTCCCCAGGGACAGAGTAGCCTGGCCGGCTACAGTCCATAGGGTCTCAAAGAGTTGGACACAACTGAAGCAACTCAGCCCAGCACAGCACACAGGTATATATCCAAAGAAAACAAAAACACTAATTCAAAAAGATACATGCACCCCAATGTTGAGAGCAGCATTATTTATAAGAACCAAGATATGGAAGCAACCTAAGTGTCCATCAAGAGATGAATGGTTAAAGAAAGTGTTTTATGTATGTATACACACACACACACACACCATGGAATGTTAGCTTTGAAAAAGAATGAAATTCTCCCATTTGCAACAACACAGATGGACCTAGAGGGTATTATTATGTTTAGTGAAATAAGTCAGATAGAGAAAGACAAACACTATATGTTATCACTTATGTGTGGAATCTAAAAAATACAACAAAGAAATCAATATAACAAAAGAGAAACACAATCACAGACAGAGATCAAACTAGTGATTACCAGTGGGGAGAGGGATGGGCGACGGGCACATCAGGGGAGGAGATTAAAAGGCATAAAGCCCAATGCATAAAATAAGCTACAAGGGTATATTGTAAGCACAAGGGAATATAGCTAATATTTTATAATGATTTTAAAAGGAGTATAATCTATAAAAATATTGAATTATTATGCTGTACACTTGAAACTAACATAAAACTGTAAAGCAACTGCACTTCAAAAAAAAAGAAACTTTATTCAAAACATACAGGGCTATGATTAAAATTCATTAACTCTACTTACTGTGCCTTCATCAGCAAATCTCTTGAGATAGTCTTTAAGTTCAGTCTTCAAGTCATTGTATTCTAAATCAAAACAACAAAGAAAAAGACATAAACTTCAGACAATCCATTTGCATTTAGGAACAAAAGATTTCCTGACCATTATTTGAGTATGTTAATAGTTTAATCTATATTTTTCTTCAAGTGAAATCTGCATAGAAATTTATTCTCAATTTCTCCCAAATTCCCTCACTTGGACATCTGGGAACCCTTTTTCATTAAATAAACCCTCAAGGAACAGATACTCCCATTCCCAAAAAGACTGCTGTTTAGTTGCTGTGTCTTATCCAACCCTTTGCAACCCCATGAACTATAGCATGGCAGGCTTCCCTGTCCTTCACTATCTCCTGGAGCTTGCTCAAACTCATGTCCATTGAGTCAGTGATGCCATCCAACCATCTCATCCTCTGTTGCCCCCCTCTGCTCTTGCCCTCAATCTTTCCCAGCATCAGGGTCTTTTCCAGTGAGTTGGCTCTTTGCATCAGCTGGCCAAAGTATTGGAGCTTCAGCTTCAGTATCAGTCCTCGCAATGAATATTCAGGGTTGATTTTTTTCTTTAGGATTGACTAGTTTGATATCCTTGCAGTCCAAGGGACTCTCAAGAGTCTTCTCCAGCACCATGATTCGAAAGCATCAATTCGTTGGCACTCAGCCTGCATTATGGTCCAACTCTCACATCCATACATGACTACTGGAAAAACCACAGCTTTGACTATATGGACCTTTGTCAGCAAAGTCTCTACTTTGAAATATGCTGTCTAGGTTTGTCATAGCTTTTCTGCCAAGGAGCAAGTGTCTTTTAATTCTGTGGCTGCAGACACTGTCTGCAGTGATTTTGGAGCCCAAGAAAATAAAATCTGTCGCTGTAGCTGAGAATTTTTTAAAAGATTTCCCATCTGTCTGTAATTCTAGTGCTAAAGTATCTTGGACTTGTCAAACATTAAGTTTTAAAACTCACTCACTTAGCAATTTGTATCATATACATGGGAACTTGAGGGTTATATCCCTCAAGTTATAGCCTCTATCCCCAAAAAGCTTTCAGTCCAATAAATGCAAAAGGAAATTAATCAAATAGTTACATATGCAAGACAGAAATAACCACTGTCAAAAAAGGGTCACAAAAGTGGTGGCATCAGAGTAGAAACTGTCTAGGACAGAAATCACTAAAATAAGTTGGGCGTGCTGAGAGAAAAAATGTAAAAACCTGCAGTTAAGGGTTTGGAAATATTTTCCCCTCTAGTGGTTTCCTGTAACCACTGAAGCATCTCAAGAACGGTCAAAAAGATGGCATGTAATGCTCGATGAAAATTGTTTCAATGGATGGAAAAAGAAATCGATTTCCTCTTATTCTGCACTTATACATCTACCCTTAATCAGAATAGCATGTTATGGTCTCTCAAGCGTGCAATTATTGTAGCGTTTAACCCTGACTCAATGGAAATAGCAGCTAAACACTCAGCACTGTTACAGTCAAGCAAGTCCTGAGTGAGGCCTACTACACAATCCCAAACTTAGACCGGTTTCAGTTGTCCTCCTCCTGCACGGTTTTAGGAGTGAAGGAGGCCGCACGGCCTTGTGAGCTTTCACAGACAGTCCTCACCACAGATGAGCTCTACTTGCTGCACTCTGCTCATGCTGCTCAGGGTGTCCATCAGGGGGTCTCTCCTGTCAGCCGCCTGGTCAACCTTGCCTTTGTTTTCGTAAGCCAGAACTGTGTCATATTCATCTGTCAGGAACAGGACATCTAGATCGCCATACATTTTCTTTAAAAAATAAAACCAGTTTCCCCATTAGAACTGTATGTCCTTCTCAGAAAGTCAACCTCATGAGAATCACCAAAAATCTGTTTAATTTTCCTAATATCCAGAAAAAGCCCAGCCTTTCGGCAGAGTTGCTTGAAGCATTTATTCTTTCTGTCCAAATTTCTCTTAGGAATCTCCCAACTTCCAGTAGATGCTGCATGATATAAGAGATTTTTATTTAAAAACCAGCTTACTGTAACTTTCAACAAATTTGTGTTTCTCAGCCATTAAAAAGAATTCATTTGAATCAGTTCTAATGAGATGGATGAAACTGGAGCCCATTATACAGAGAGAAGTAAGCCAGAAAGATAAAGACCATTACAGTATACTAACACATATATATGGAATTTAGAAAGATGGTAACGATAACCCTATATGCAAAACAGAAAAAGAGACTCCGATGTATAGAACAGACTTGTGGACTCTGGGAGAAGGCGAGGGTGGGATGTTTCAAGAGAACAGCATCGAAACATGTATATTGTCTAGGGTGAAACAGATCACCAGCCCAGGTTGGATGCATGAGACAAGTGCTCGGGCCTTGTGCACTGGGAAGACCCAGAGGGATCGGGTGGAGAGGGAGGTGGGAGGGGGGATCGGGTTGGGGAATACATGTATATCCATGACTGATTCATGTCAATGTATGACAAAAACCACTACAATATTGTAAAGTAATTAGCCTCCAACTAATAAAAAATTAAAAAATTAAAAAAAAAAAACCAACCAACTTACTGTAACTTTCAACAAATTTGTGTTTCCAAGTAATTCTATGATATAGAAAAGCTATTTTCCACTGAAATGAAGATAAGTAAATAAGAAGTATTGCATCATTCTTAATTGCTTCCATAAACATTCAGACTGCAAACACTAATTCACAAATTTGCTTAACATAAAAAAAAACTTACATTCCCTTTACTCTAATACCAATTTCATAAATAAACTTCCCAGGTGTTTTTATTTTAGGCATCTGTCCACAAAACACTTAATGTTGAACATGATCAGGTACTTACCATACAGTCTTTGCAGGTACACAACTTGCTACGCCAGTTCAGGGGCCAATAGGTGGCACTGTCTTTCTTTATAAACTGCTTAGCTTTAAGCTCCTGAAGTTTGCAGCCAGACTGTGATTCTGTGTTGAAATGTTGATTCTGAAATGCTTTCTGAAATTAAGTTTTGAAGTGTGTATTTTAAACTATCATCATTTTCAAAGTTTAGATTTTTTGTAAAAGGATTTTTTTAGGCAAAAGGTACAACTGAAATCTAAAGCTACATAGCTTACAGAATTAATTTTGCTTAAATTTTATTTCTTTTACAGCTCAGATTTCATTTTGTTACCTGGAGATCAGATTCAGAACTAGAGCTGGTACATGGTTCGTCTGTCTGCTCTGCTTTAACTTCCTTCACGATAGTCTTTCTGTTTTCTGGAACATCCTCTCCGAGAGCATTGTCTTGATGAGCCCCATTTTCAGTTGTGATAACTTCTTGATCACCTACTCCATCAACATTCAGCACCAACCCATCATCTTCAGTAGTTACTTTGGTTACTGTAGGTTCAATGAAAACACACACACACACACATCCACACACAGTGAGACAATGAAATCACTTAGTTTGATTAAAAAATACTTCAGAATCTGGAAAAGGAGAGAGTTAACCTGAATCTCTGGAATAATGAGAAAGGAAATGACACTTTTTTAGGTTATGCCTGCCTATTCTAAGGTGTCATATAACAGAAAATTTAAAAATACCAATCACTGGTGGGAAGGGTGGGTTCAAGAGGGTGCAGCTCATTGGTAAAGAATCTGTCTGCCAGTGCACAAGATGCAGGTTCAATCTCTGGGTCAGGAAGATCCCCTGGAGGAGGAAATGGCAACCCACTTCAATATCCTTGCCTGGAAAATCCCATGAACAAAGCCTGGCAGGCTACAGTCTGTGGGGTCACAAAGAGTTGGGCATGACTGAGCAACTGAGTACGCATGCATGTGCAATAGACACTGTGGAGGCACTCATAGCTGATTCACTTCACTGTGCAGCAGAAATGAACACAACATTGTCAAGTAATTACACTCTAGTAAAAAATAAAATGTGAACCAAGAACAGAAAAAAAAAACCATCTGGAAAAAAGAGCTAAAAAAAAAATATCAATCACTACTTAAGCATTTTATATGTAAATGAGAACGGAAAATACTATAGATGTTAAGGACCCAGGGACACCACAAGAAGCAAGAGGCCATAGGAAGACATTCAGCTGCAAGCACAGGAGAAGGGTAGTTTTGCAAAACAACAGTTTTTCTTTATGCGAGGAGGAAATTAGAAAGGACGCTGGCAGAGACAGAAATGACAGAGAGCAGAGAAATGACAAGGGAACGCACACTGCAGGATGGCTTTTCAGTTTATTAGGAAATGAGGCCATCTGCTGACAGGGAAGGAAATGAAGACGGGGCAGAGGGGAAGGGTTAAGAAAATCCAGTGAATGAGAAAAAGATTCAGGTCCAGCAGAAAGTGAGACGTAATTGAAAAGGATATGAACAGGCTGATTTGTGCTGATGTATGGTAGAAACCAACATAGTAATTATAAAGCAATTATCCTTTAATTAAAAATAAATAAAATTTTAAAACACAGACAAAAAAGCATATGAACAGAAAGAGGGCACACCGAGTACAAGAGCTTTGAGACAAAACAAAAGCGTAGGATGCTGCTTGAGGTTTGAATGGTGAAGTGTTCCCTAAAAGTGAGAAGGGCAAGAAACTATGAGGCCGGACAACAGCTACTGTGAATTACTCCCATTTAAAAAATAAACACATATAGCATTAAGAGTAAAATAAAGTATTTCATACCTTAAGAACATTCTTTACTAATTAGTGGTTTGCGGTCAATTTCTCAGAGTACAGTAAAGGCATCAGATGACAAACTGTCGCCACCCCTTCCTCGACCAATAGCATGTCTTACATTTAAGAACAACTTGTTTCGGCTCTGTTATCTTTCAAAATCCCCTTAAAAACTGCCTTCTCCATTTTCTCCAATCTGGTCTCATCCATATTCTGCATCATGCCATTTAAGTACAAATTGATTCTTGGCAGTCTCCCAATCTAGCTATAAGCACCTTGTGGAGAAGGAACAGATCTTACACTTTTTTCTATACGTCAGAGTCCCTTAAAAATAGTTCCATGCTAGCAACATGGAACTCTGCTCAATGTGGTGTGGCAGCCTGGATGGGAGGAAAGTTTGGGGGAGAATGGATACATGTGTACTTATGGCTGAGTCCCTCTCTAGTTCACCTGAAACTCTCACAGCATTGTTTGTTAGCCATTCCCCCCTACAAAATAAAAAGTTAGAAAACAAACCACATAAAATAAAGTAAAAGTACACAGTGAGAAACAGAGTAGCTAAAACTTAGATACTGAACAAATTGTGCTGATTTGTACTGAACATATGACCCAGGCTGGAGGCATGCCAACTCCACAGACTCTTACCTGCCAGCTGGGCAGCGTACGCCCACAGGAAAGGACAGCGCTTCATGCACGCCTGGCACACCATCTCCTGGAAATCCCCGCTCTCAGGGGGAATGGCACCAAGATGCTGGGACACAGAAAACCAAGTTATTTTCCTTGTCATCACCAAGTTCTCCGAAAAGTTCGTTGTTTTATAAAATATTCCAACAGTCCATTGATCATATCTCTATAGTATTTTTTAGAAGAGTAGTGATAATGTGAAATATAACTGAATTCCAAAAGACAAGATCTTTTTGGGACTTCCCTGGTGACCCAGTGGCTAAGACTCTGTGTTTCCAATGCCAAGGGCCTCGGTTCAGTCCCTGGTTAGGAAACTAGATTCCATATGCCACAACCAAGATCAGACTCAGCCAAATAAATAAGTATTAAAAAAAATTTTTTTTAAATACAGAAAAATAAAAAATAAATTAAAAAAAGACAAGATCTTTTCTTTTTGTAAAGACAATGGGTTTAAAAGGTCAAAGCTCTCCTTACCCTTCCATGGAACCAGTCTTCACAGACTATACACTGGATCATCTCATCTGGAATCTAACATAGAAAGACAATTTGTTTGTTAATGATTACAGTAAATTCATGGAGTTCTCAAGGCAAGAATACTGCCATTCCTTTCTCCAAGGAAGCCTGGTGTGCTGCAGTCCATGGGGTTGCAAAGAGTTGGACATGACTGAGCGAATCAACTGACTGACAATGAACTCTGGAATATCAAAGTAAATCTGGCACACATTAGAATCAGATATTAAATAATTCTCTACCAATTCTGTAAGTCCACTATCCACATGCAAAAAGTCAAGGAGACAGGGAGAAACAGCAGTTCAAGGGGTCAAAGAAGTTCTTTCTTTGTGAACTGGGGTTACAAAAGGGTTACATTGAGATAAGCACTTTGTGAGTAATTATCAAAACTTTTATATCAGTTACATACTATCTGATTACCACAAAACTTTATGAATAAGTAATAATATTTTCATTTCACAAATAAACCCAGGCCCAGGGAGGTAATGTGAATTGTAGCAAGTTGCACAGTGAATTACAGAATTTCGCCTTTGTCAAAAGAAAAGGAAACTAGAAATTAAAGCACACATTCACTCACTTATATGTGCACAGGAAAAGGTCTAAAAATATATACACCAAAAGTGTTAACAGTGGTTATGTCTGGGAGGTAAGAAGGTACAGGAATGAGGAAGAATAAAAATTCTTTTAAAATTTTGCATACACCTCTAATTGAAGTTTTTAAGAGAATCCAATTAGTGCACCCCATTTTCTTTTCCTGTAAGAATGCAAGAAGTTGAAGGTCATTTTCTGGAAAGTATTCAGAGAAAAGGAGCAAACAGGCAGGCAAAGAGAGGGAGGAAAGAAAAAAGTTCTGGCCTTAACAAAGTCCTGTCCAGTATTTCTCATGATGTAAGAAAGAGAAAAATAGTTGGGCTCTGTAGTACTTGTAGCTTCAGGTCAGAGTCATAAAAAGGGGTAAATCTAGAATACTTTCACAATCCCCAATCCCTGCTGAACAGATAAAGGGCCAAATGTGACAAGAGGCTGGGGAGTGAAGGCTGGAGATGACACAGTCCTGGTGCTGACTTCCAAATCTCTTACCTCATCTTCAGGATCAGGGTAAGGTCTCTTGCAAACGCAGTACAATCCAAAAAAGTTGGCATTGTACTTATTGCCAGAATTTATCTTTGCTTTGTCCTGAAAGATATCAATTTCAATATAAAATATGGCCTAACTTTATAATTTAATGCATCATGGAATTTATGCATTCAATAAATTTGTGCACTAAATATCTGTACCCCCTCCCTCCCCTGGAAGCTAGTCTTCAAAGTACAAGGGAAAAAATTCATCCTATAAAGTAATACTTTCTCCAGGATACAAGGAAATACAAGGAAAAAATAAAATTTATTTTCTATACCTTCTTTGTACCAATTGGGGGAGAATGAATAATAAATATTAACTATCAACCTATGGAAGCTGACACTGGTCTAGAATTTCAAAATACTTCTTAACGCCCGCTGTGATAGTCAAAGCCCCAAATTACTAGGAGGTAAAAAGTAGGCAAAGAAGTTGTCTAAAAATAATCTTTGAAGGAGGGAAAGAGCATGACAACTTTGGCAATCATGATTGAATACTGTAAAGTCCCTTATTTTCTGTTTCATTTTTGTTATTTCACTGGAAGTTATTGTAGAAGATAGTCTTTATTATCCAAAAAGCAGTGAAAAACTTCTGAATGCACATAACCCATGCTCATTATTGCCCAGTTTTATTTATTCAGTTTTAAAAGTCATACCCTTTTCTTTAAAAAGCCTCAGAGCATGAGCACAATCAACACAACTAAACCTGAATGACTTTAGAACACTACCCCCAAAACCTTTCATATTAATTACAATCTAAGGTAGGCTCTGAACAGGTTACTTAGTTTTCACAAGTAAAAAATGGGGTACAATCTAACACTGATTTGCTCATTTCAAAGAAGAAGCATAGAACTTCCTTTTTGAAAATTCTTGGTTTTTATCCCGTAGGACAGATACCAATCTTAGCTATTTTTCATGCATTTATCGTTTACTGTGCTTACTTACAGGAAATAATTTGCATTCCAAATTTTTAAACTTGCTGTTTCCACAATCACAACGAAAATTTCTGAAAAAAAGGAGGAAGAGCCAATTTTAATTTTTCTTCTAAATCTAAAGACTACTCTTTACATTCATATCATAGCCTCTTCCCTTGCAACTGGCTTCTAGGATCTAAAAACTGGACTTGGTTGTTGTTCATGTATCCAATCCGCAATTTTCCCAAGCACATTACAATAAAAGATTTAATAATTCTATAAATTAACATGTGTGTGCTGTGTGCCCAGTCTTGTCTGACTCTGTGCGATCCCACGGACCGTAGCCCACCAGGCTCCCCTGTCCATGGAATTCTCCAGGTAAGAATATTGGAGTGGATTGCCATTTCCTTCTCCAAGAAATTAACATGCATAAAGACAAATATCTGTATCTCACACACACACATAAAACAGTGGCAGAACAGCAGGAGTAGTTTGAGTTTGCCCCATAATTATATTTTAAAAGGTCCCCTTGAAAAACTGTTCTTTCTGATTATATTATATAAAACAGTTGCATTAAATTTTACCAGGGCACAACTACTTTGAATGCAAAAACATGATTAAGAAAAAAAGTGCAACTGGAAAAGAATCTAAACATATGAAAAGCATCCGGCATCATTTTACCTTTGACCACTTATCCTCTGACCATTTTACCTTTTTGTGTATAGCTCAAATAGTTTATGACTTCCATGACATTCATAACTGCAAGCCAGGCAAATTCCTGCTGGTTCTTCTCCCTCTGGAGTGCAGGTACTGCAGGCATACAGTGCTTGTCTCTTTACTGAACCCTAAAAGACAGCCCCCAAATGAAAAAAGTCAGAAAACTGATGAAACATTGGCAGAGTGACCTAATGCCCATACTATGATCTGAGAAATAACTGAAATCAGATTATCTGTGGTCAAGATCTTCCTGTAAAAACCACTGAGACTAATAAAAAAGCATATACAATAGAATACCAAAACACTGCTGCAGGTTTCATAATGTTTCATATAACTTTTTCTCAAAGTGATAGAAGTTAACATTTTCAGTCAGCTGTGAATAAGATGGTCTGCTTAACTATTTTAACACATGAAAATACAGGAGAATGTGTGTATGCTTACGTAAGGAATAATCATACTTTAATTCTGGAAAATGCTTGTGATTCCACCAAAGAGAAAACCAATGCATTAAATGAATCCCTTTGATTTTTAGATGTATGCTGACATATTTAGAGTTGAAGTGTCATGGTCTGAAATTTATTTTCAATTGGTTCAGGAAAAAAAAACAAAGTATATTACAGAGAAGAAGTAAAAGATAAAACAAATGTGGTAAAATGCTAAAAAGTGAATATATGTGAAGGTACACAGGTGTTCATAATATTATTTTTTCACTTTAACTGTAGACTTTAAACATTTCAAAATAAAAAGTTGAAAGAAAAGCAAATCCTGATAATGGCTGCCATCTTCTGGGAAGAAGGGAGACCCAGGAAAGCTTCTGTGATGCTGGTAATGTTCTATTTCTTGATCTGGGTGGTATGTACCTGCATGTGTTTTCGGTTTTGCTTTCCTAAGACTTATACATGGTTTCTGCACTTTTCCACATATTTTACAACAATACAAAAAAATTTTTTAAGGAAGTCAGTTTTAAAAATCTAACTACCTTTCAAAAATAACTTACATACAGGCTTTTTTTTTTAAGGCAAGCAGAGAAAAAGTTGTTTCAGTGGCGACCAAAGGTTTTAAAATATCAGCCAACATTAAATACCTCTGATACCAGGTGTATTAAAAAAAAAAATCTAACCACTTTGCAGTGTAAACTGGTCATTGATGACAACTGGTATTGTGATCTCAGGCCACACCATATAAAGACCCCACGTCTCTCTCCACATCCTGCAATGTTCCACTCCACCGGCCTGGAAGGTAACCTTCTTCTTCCTATCAAGTATCATCTCTCTTTAGTTTTCTTCTACCCACCATTCTCCATTTTTGAACCTAGAAACATAGGATGAGTCACCAAACACTACGTCACACCCCCTCCAGTCCCTGTTCCCACCATCTTCCGAATGCCATCTCTCCTCCCCCTCCTTTCCTTTGCCAGTGCCACCAGCTGTTCGGGTTCCGGTCTATCCCCCGGGGGGCCGACTGCAGACAGACGTGGTCTTGCTTCCTCTCGCCAAAAAACCAGCTAGCACTTGTCAAACTAAATTGCAGAGGAACCAGCTGTCCAGGAGTCCAGCCTACGCGGAGAGATTTTCAAATCCAGAGCTCTCTCCTTTAACTCTGCTTTGACTCTCCCGTTTAATACCCAGCAAACACTCCGAGGATGGGAAAAGTAGGGACAAAGATGCTCAGGATGTGAGAGGTCACGGAGTTGGTTTGGTGAAAAGCGGCCGGGGCACCGAGAAGAGACGAGGAAGGAAGGAAAAAGCAGCTGCTCCGGGGCCAAAACCGGAGAAACGTCGGGGGCCGGACAGAAGAAAACCCAGAAAGGAGGGGCGTCCTGCTGGCCACAGGTTAGGAAGGGGGCTCAGGAGACTAAGGGCAAAAGGGCACCTGGGCCTGGGATGGGGAAGCCTACGACCAACAGCTGCGCCGGACCACCATGGGGTGCGGGCCGCGGCCGGCGGGAAGTGAGAGGGAAAGACAGGTGGGGAAAGGGAGGTTCAGGGGAGCCTGGGGGAGGCGAGGCCCGGGCCGCGCGCCCACCTGCGAGTAGGAGCACTTCTCCGAGTCACTGCCGCCCAGGACGGCGCAAGCCTCATTCTCCAGCTCCTCGTCCTCCTCAAGTACATCGACCAACGATACCACGGGCTCCAACTCCGACTGTCGCCCAGCTGGCTCCTCGGCTCCGGCCATCCTCAACTGTCACCAGGACCGCCGATCGGCCCCGGCGGAGGCGGGAAAAGCGGCCGCGAGAGGCGGGGCCGGAGGAGGCGGGGCCGCGGCGCCAGGCACCAATCCCAAAGACGGGAAGCGAAGGAAGGGGGAGGAGCGACTTCCGACAAAAGGAAGTCGCTCCTCTCACTTCTCCGCGCCTGCGCCCGCGGCGTGCTGGTTTCCGTTTCCGGTGGCGCCTCTCTGTGGCGCGCTCCTGAAGCGTAGCGGTCGCTATGGAGCTGTTGGGCGAGTACATCGGACTGGAAGGGCAGCGACAGCAGCTACGGGTCCCCTGTGAGGCGCCGGGCGTCACCGACCCTTTCCAGAGCTTGTTGTCCGGTGTGGCTCAGATGAGGGAGCTGGTGACTGAGCTCTTCGGCTCTCAGGTACAGCAGGAAGCAAAGGACCGGGTGACGGCGGCTCCCGACGAGGCCTTGGACGGTGAGCTCTGAGATGGTTCTGGGAGCGACAGGGGGGCGGGCAGGGGCGCCCGGAGTCGGGGAAATAACACGTGTAGAGTAACAAACTTGGAGAAGGTGAGCCTCGGGGGAAGAAGAATTCCAAATGAAAATTTTTAGCTATTTTCGCTCAATTTGGGCTGTACCTGGACTCATTTAGTAGGACTGCTTTTCACGATTCTCTTTTCAATTATGTCACACAAAAAACGTACTGAACGCCTATGGCCCTGTGCCAGTCTCTGGGCTGAACTCTGGAGAAAGAATGAAGTGAATGCGACTCATTTCCTGTTCTTGTGGAACTCTGTGGGAGGTTAGACAGACAGACATTCTTATTAAAGAGTAGAAGGAATGACCCTAGGCTTCTCTGTAACTATTGCAAACCTAGAGAACCCATGAAGGCTTCAGAGAGAGCATGACTTCTTAGCTGGGCTTAGAAAGATGGAAAGGAATTTTCCCAGGCGTGAACTTAGAAATATGTTTGGAAGACCGCCGTCTATTACAGAATAGGAACAGATTCTGAAGATTAGAATAGATTTCAGATGAATAAGGCTTCACTGTCTGGGACTCCTTTCATTTCCCATTGTGGTAGGTGCAGTTTGAAAGCAGAAACGGAAAATTTAACCGTATCCTTAAGTCTTGTCTTGAATACCCTGAGCTGAAGAACCTAAGAACTAACTATTGGAATCAGGGCTTACTTCCCCTTTTGTCGTTGTTAAGGTTCAGTCACTCAGTTGTGTCCATCTCTTTGCAACTCCGTGGACTGTAGCACACCAGGCTCCTCTGTCCTTCTCTGTCTCCCAGAGTTTGCTCAAATTCATGCACATTTAAGCTGCAATGCCATCCAGCCATCTCATCCTTTGTCTCCCCCTTCTCCTTCTGCCCTCAATCTTTCCCAGCATCAGTCTCTTCCAGGGAGTCAGCTCTTTGCATCAGGTGGCCAAATTATTGGAGCTTCAGCTTTAGCATCAGTCCATCCCAGTGAATATTCAGGGTTGATTTCCTTTAGGATTAACAGATTTCATCTCCATGCTCTCCAAGGGACCCTCAAGAGTCTTCTCCAGCACCACAGTTCAAAAGCATCAATGCTTCGGCACTCAGCCTTCTTTATGGACCAACTCTCACATCTGTACGTGACTACTGGAAAAACCATAGCTTTGACTAGACAGACCTTTGTCGTCAGAGTGATGTCTCTGCTTTTTAATACACTTGTCTAGGTTTGTCATAGCTTTTCTTCCAAGGATCAAGTGTCTTTTAATTTCATGGCTACAGTCACTGTCTGCAGTGATTTTGGAGCCCAAGAAAATAAAATCTGTCACTGCTTCCACTTTTTCCTCTTCTATTTGTCATGAAGGCCAGCTTCTTCACTTTCTTCTTTCAGCTTCATCAAGAGGCTCGTTAGTTCCTCTTCACTTTCTGCCATTAAGGTGGTATTATCTGCATGTCTGACGTTATTAATATTTCTCCTGGCACTCTTGATTCCATCTTGTGCTTCATCCAGCTCGGAATAAGCACAGAGTGACAATATATAGCTTTGACATACTCCTTTCCCAATTTTGAACAAGTTTGTTGTTTCATGTCTAGTTCTAACTGTTGATTCTTGACCCGCATGCAGTTTTGGGATTGGAATAAAAACTGACCTTTTTCCATCCTCTGGCCACTGCTGAGTTTTCCAAATTTGCTGACATATTGAGTGTAGCACTTTAACAGCATCATCTTTAAAGATTCTAAATAGCCCAGCTGGAGTTCCAACACCTCCATTAGCTTTGTTCATAGTCCTAAGGTCCACTTGACTTCAGACTCCAGGATATCCAGCTTTAGGTGAGTGACCACACCATTGTGGTTATCCATGTCATTAAGACTTTTCTCGTATAGTTTTTCTGTGTAGTCTTGCCACCTCTTAATCTCTTCTGCTTCTGTTAGGTTCTTACCATTTTAGTCCTTTTATCGTGCCTGTCTTTGCATGAAATGTTCTCTTGGTGTTTCCAATTTTCTTGGAGATCTGTCTTTCCCATTCTGTTGTTTTCTCTGTTTCTTTGCATTGTTCATTAAGAAGGCCTTCTTATCTCTCCTTACTATTCTTTGGAACTCTGCATTCAGAAGGGTATATCTTTCCCTTTCTCCCTTGCTTTTCACTTTTCTTCTTTCCTCAGCTCTTTGTAAAGCCTCCTTGGACAACCACATTACCTTCTTGCATTTCTTTTACTTTGGAATGGTTCTGGTCACTGCCTCCTGCACAGTGTTACAAACCTCCATCCATAGTTCTTCAGGCACTCTTGTCTGCAAATCTAATCCCTTGAATCTATTTGTTACCTCCACTATAATCATAAGGGATTTTATTTAGGTCATACTTGAATGGCCTAGTGGTTTTCCGTACTTTCTTCCATTTAAGCATGAATTTTACAATAAGGAGTTCATGATATGAGCCACAGTCAGCTCCAGATCATGACTGTGTGGAGCTTCTCCATCTTAAGTTGCAAAGAACATAATGTGATTTCAGTATTGACCATCTAGTGATGTCCATGTGTAGAGTTGTCTCTTGGGTTATTTGAAAAAGGTGTTTGCTATGACCAGCATGTTCTCTTGACAATACTCTTAACCTTTGCCCTGCTTCATTTTGTACTTCATTTTGAAACAGGCCAAACTTGCCTGTTTTTCCAGGTATCTCTTGGCTTCCTGCTTTTGCATTCCAATCCCCTATGATGAGAACGACATCATTTTTGGTATTCTAGAAGTTGTAGGTCTTCATACAGCCAATCAGCTTCAGCTTCTTCAGCATCAGTGGTTGAGACATCAGCTTGGATTACTGTGATGTTGACTGGTTTGCCTTGGAAACAAACCAAGATCATTCTGTCATTTTTGAGATTGCACCCAAGTACTGCACTCAGACTCTTTTGTTGACTATGAGGGCTACTTCATTTCTTTCCAAAGGATTCTTGACCACAGTAGTAGATATAATGGTCATCTGAATTAAGTTCGCCCATTCCTGTCCATTTTAGTTCACTGATTCCTAAGATGTCGATGTTTACTCTTGTCATTTCCTACTTGACTGTGTCCAGTTTACCTTCCAGACATTCCTGGTTTCTATGCAGTATTGTTCTTTACAGCATCGCATCATTCCTGCTTTAGCCCAGCTGCTTCATTCTTTCTGGGGCTATTAGTAATTGCCCTCTGCTCTTCCCCAGTAACATATTGGACACCTTCCAACCTGAGGGGCTCATTTTCTAGCATCATCTTTTTGCCTTTTCATACTGTCCATGGGGTTCTCTAGGCAAGAATACTGGAGTGGATTGGCATTTCCTTTTCCAGTAGACCATGTTTTATCAGAATTCTTCACTATGACCCATCCATCTTGGGTGACACTGCACAACATGGCTCATAGCTTCATTGAATAATGCAAGCCCCTTCACCATGACAAGGCTGTGATCATGAAGGTGTAACTCCTCTGTAGAGAAGCTTAAACTTTTCTGTACTTTCTTTTCTTTCCATCTTGTTTACATCTTGATAGTGCCAGATAATGTGATGGAACCAATTCAGAATATTACGTGAATTTCAGCTAGTAGATTGTTTGCATTAGCGTGAAGTCCTGGTTTTTGGCTCCAAAAGATCCTCTTTAAACCATTGAAAATACTGTCATTGGAATAAGGACAGGTACACATGGAACCATTTAAAAAATGGCTTGCTGGAAAAATAATTTCTACCTGTTCTGCTAATAGTGGGTCAGTAATATCTTCGTATAAGAGGACGTGCTTTTGTACATTTAACGAAGCCCCCAAAGAGTTTCGGTTTGAAAGTCCTTTGTTGAACGCGGTAGAGGGATTCCCTGGCGGTCCGCTGGTTAAGACTCTGCCCGTCCACTGCAGGGAGCACGGGGTTGATCCCAGTTGGGGAACTAAGATCCCTCTGGCCCTGTGGTGCAGCCCAGGAAAAAAAAGTGATAGAGGTTAAAATGATGGATTTTGTCTTATATGAATAATATCTCAATTAACAAGTATAAAATTTTTTAAATGTAAAAATTACAAAAGTGATAGAATGCAATACTAAAATGACAAATGGTGATCATTTTGTATGTACAGAAATATTGAGTCATGGTATTGTACTAATAGTGTTGTGGGTCAGTTATACTTCAGTTGAAAAAAAAATCATCATAATGACTAAAAAAGACAATCCAATTGCCAGGTGTGCAGAAAACTTGAAGAGACAGTGCTCCAAATAAGATATACAAATGGCCAGTGAGCATGTGAAAAGATGCTGAACATCACTGGCTTTTAGAGAAAGGCGAATCAAAGCCACAATGACATAGCGTGTCATACCCACCAGGAAGGCTAAAGAACAGTAACACGTGTTTTGACTGGATGTGAAGAAATTGGAGCCCTCATACGTTGTTGGTGGAAATGTAAAATGGGGTACATTCTTTGAAAAACACTTTGATAGTTCCTCAGAAAAGTTAAATGTAAAATTATCATTCAACCCAACAGTTCTAGTCCTAGAGGTTCTTAGTTCCACTCCAAGTTCTCCCAAGAC